AAAAAAGAAAGAAAAAGTTATTTAAATGAAATCAGGTATAAACCATCACCAACCATCAAAAAAGCACCCTATTGCAGAAATAAAATATGCAAGACATGGTCTCTGTGCTAAGAGAAGTAATCCAGGCAGAGTAATAAGACTGTTAAACCCAGGCAGTCAAATGTTATACCATATGGTGGGTCTGACTACACACCTAACAGAAATAAACGTATCCATATGAGTTATTGGGTCAAGGTTTCACTGAGATTAAAAAAAAAAAAAAAAAACTGAAAGAAAACTCAAGGATGTACAAGTACAGGGCAGATTGGTCAGAGGAATGGACAAAAGTATTCTGAGAAAAAAATGGCCTGAAGTTAACAAAGAAGCAAGGTAGCCGCACTTACAGAAAAGAGTAAAGAACTTTTCTCCCTTTAAATCACTCTTGCCACTTGCAACCTACTTCCAAACAGAGAAGAAAAGAAGGCATTTCATCAAGATTCCTGTTACTGAAATGCCTAAAAACGCAAAGGGGTTAGCATTTCTGGTTGTAACTGAAAGAACAACCCGCGTGAGGCTACTCTGTAATACCAGAAGAACGAAGGGCAGCCAAAAGGATGGGACCCAAACATTTTCTGATGTTTCCGTAAAAACAGAGGAACACATGAATAAAAAATGAGAAAGGAATATAAGCAAAAACTTCAAAGAAAATGAAACACAAATGGCTCTGAAACATAAAAATATGCTTAATTTATATTAAAATAAATGCAAAATAAAACTGCATTGAGATAATATTTCCCATCTAACACACCAATCAAAATCTGGAAGTTTGATAACACACAGCTGTCAAGGGTCAGGAGCAACCTTTGTGAAGGACAATTAGTATCAACCAAAACTACAAATGCAATCTCTCTTCTCAAAATTTACCCTACAGATGACATATGTGTAGGGTTATTCACTAGAGCATTGACCATTACAGCAAAAGACTAGAAACAACCTAAATCAACAGAGAAATGGCTAAATGAATTATGGCACATCCATAAAACAGAATCATGTAACTGTGGGAAAAAAAAAAAAAAAAGAAAGAAAGAAAGAATGCGCCAGGAACGAAGTCTCACATCTGTAATCCCAGCATTTTGGGAGGCTGAAGTGGGCAGGTTATCTGAGGTCAGGAGTTAGAGACCAGCCTGACGAACATGGCGAAACCTGTCTTTACTAAAAATACAAAAATTAGCCAGACATGGTGGCACATGCCTGTAATCCCAGCTACTTGAGAGGCTGAGGCAGGAGAATTACTTGAACCCGGGAGGCAGTTCAAGATCTCGCCATGTGCACTCCAGCCTGGGCGACAAAGCGAGACAAAGTGAGACTCCATCTCAAAAAAGAAAAAAAAAAAATGAACAAGTTTTATATACTAAAATGGAAAGGACTCCAAGAATCTAAGTATAAACAAACAATACAATCCAGAATGGTGTGTATGGTAAGAAAGGGGGGAAAAAACCAAGACTGCATATTTGTATTTGCTCATATTTTCCAAAAGAAACTCCAGAAGGATACGTAAGAAGAAACAAAAATGTTTATCTTTGTCATAAAAGGAAAGTGGTGGTCGGCCGGGCGCAATGGCTCATGCCTGTAATCCCAGCACTTTGGGAGGCCGAGGCGGGCGGATCACTTGAGGTCAGGAGTTTGAGACCAGCCTGGCCAATAATGGTGAAACCCTGTCTCTACTAAAAATATAAAAATTAGCTATGATTGGTGGCATGCGCCTGTAGTCCTGACTGCTCAGGAGGCTGAGGCACGAGAATTGCTTGAACCTGGGAGATAGAGGTTGCAGTGAGCACAGATCGTGCCACTGCACTCTGGCCTGGGTGATAGCAAGACTTCGTCTTGGCGGCAGGGGGGAAAAAAAAACACTGGTGGAAGGGGGATTTATTGTTAATCTTTATATATTTTTAAATTTGTGAGCATCAATATACTAACTCAAAAAATTAAGTTAATTAAATTTACTACAAATACTTGTTACAAGCAATGCAGGATTTTTTTTAAAAAGCATGTTTTCTTCACATATACTCAAAGCAATTTCCCTGCAGAGAATACTAAATGAGCTAAATTCTGCAACTGCCAAATGAAAGTGCTGTATCTAAAATAACAGACATGTCTAACCAACGTCATTCAGACTACACACTCAATAGTTCAAAATATAAAATTAGAAGCATATGATTTTCCTACTAATTACCCACCTTGGCTTGCTTTTTGGCTTGTTTCTTTGCTTTTTTCTGTAAGTGCTTACTTGTTCCAGAAGGAATATCACTTCTCTCTTTTATGTAACTGTCGTTATCTTTTTCTTCCTCGCTATCTTGATCTTCATCTTCCATTGTCTTTTTCAGATTTTTGTCATTGACACTTTTCTTACCACTCTTAAAATATAGATAACATAGGTCAAAAACAAAATTTTACAACTACCGTTTGGTGAAAAAAATCCATACTATGTAAATATTTTTCTACTTCTATTATATACTGGTTTTATTTTCCACAATATTTGAAAATAGACAAGACAAAATTCATTCATCTCATATACTAGAAAGCAATCTTCACATAATGAGAAAACAAGCAAACCAACAAAACAGCAAAAGGCAATGCCACATGCAAGTGTAATAGAAATACAACGAACTTTATTAGATACATGCTGTGTCACACTGTAAATATGTCCATTTCCAAATACATTTTCTAAGTGACTTACATAAGTCACCACAGTGTATTCTTTTTTATTCTTTTCTTTCTTTGCATGCATATGACAGTTTTAGAAAAAGAGAAAATAAAGTTTGGTGAGACTAATTGCCAAGTAACAAGCCAAAGGTCTCATACTTCATACGAAGTTGAATAATGAGTTATCCAATACTCATAACATCTCTTTTTTCCTACTACTACTTAAAAGGAACCAAATAAAAATGAAATAATACTCTTTAACATTTACGAACTTAGGTGTGCAAGGGATTCGTGGTTAGTCTTAAATAACAAAAATAAGTATTAATTTTAATATAAGGAAAACACTTCCCTGTATGGAAACCAATCAAAGTAATTACTTGTACAGAATTCTGAATACATCGTCTTTTCCTCATCCTTGTTTTTAAAAGTAGTTACCCTGTTCTTTATTCAAATCCTAAAAATAATTCTACCTCAGATTAAGAAAAATTTCTGCATGTGCCAGTAATATACAAACTTAAAAAGAGTAACAGGGCTTCCCCCAGTAAAATCTTACAGGAAAATAAATCTACTTGAATAAAATAAACTCAATAGTCTTACCTGATCATCTAAAACTGGGAGAGACAAATCAAGGAAAGATTCATGAACCAAGGAGACCTTAACCAATCAAAAAAGACAATGTAAAAATGTAAATACTGTAAATGTTACAGAGTAAGCTACTCCCTGCCCTGTGGGATGGGGGGTAGGGGGAGGGTTTTAAAATAAACAAAGGCTTAAGAAAATTTGAAATGAAAAATTACACAACACTGAGGACTTTGGGTTGGGGAAAATAAATCAAAATGTTTAACTTCTTCAAGAATTAAGGAGTGCTGACATTTCCCACAAAGAACCATGCACATCTGAATAGTTTAAAAAGATATCCTATGAAGGTAGAGATTTCTATTTTTGAAATAAACAATAGATAAACTACTCTATGAATATTAGTGAATAAACCCAGTACACATCACATCTACTTACAGTTCTGCATTGATCACACATGATCGTACTAGTTAGTTCACCACCAAAGATGCGGTCAACAAAACTTGGTATTGATTTTTTCTTCTCATAGTCTAAGGAGAAAAAAAAAAGTTTATCAATTACCGATTACCTTTATATAATTAATTAAATAAGAAAAACTAAAACTACTTACCTATCTAACTCTAAAATTTTATTTTAAATTTCCTGTCCCACAGACTTCTTCCTCCATTCATAATCACCATTATTTCATTTTTATGCGATAGAAGTCAGTATTATATATTCCACCTCTGAGCATAACATAATTGAACACAATCACCTTTTAGGAATAAGACAAAAAAGTCCTTATCCAAGACCTAGTCAGTGGGCAGTAAACTGTGCAAGTCAGTGAGACTTCTATGTCTCTCTCTCTGTTAGTATAAAATGAACAGCTCGGACTAAGCTGAATGACAGTCTAGCTCCTTAGTTTTAGCTCTAACATTCTAAC